GAAAGATCCAGGTCTGAATAAATCCTTCCCCATGCACTGTTTTCCAAAGAAAGGAAACATCAAGAGTATGAACCAGACAGGTGTCATGGCACAGTCCAACAGGTACTCGATCAAGGAACCTTGTGTTCGCACTAACATGAAAATCACAACAGAATCTCAAATAATACACAGTAATAAATCATCAACTCCGTTGATCATATGGTGGAGCTGCCTTTTAGAAGCAGCAAAAGGTCTCCAGAAAGCATTAACAATTCACCGAGGACTAAACAGTGCATTGAAAAGAGGAACATGAAGAAAACGTAGGTCTCTCAAACTTATGCTGCAGATAAAAGATGCTTCTATTAATTTCAGAATAATCATGGAATGACTGATCAGAGACCTACAAGTTATTTCTAACTAACCTAACTAATTTCCAGCATTTGGCGCCAAGTCCCAAAGGGTAGCATATTTAATTGCAGATTTCATCCTGTAATCCTTCACCTTACAAACACATTTGTTTATTTGTCTTCCAGACTTACTGATTTCTCACCTTTTGAACGGTACTGAATTCTTCAGAGCAGTTGCCACATCATCAGGACTGGCTTTAGCAAGATCAGCCACTGTGACAAAGCCAGCGTTGTAAAGTGTCCTAGCACGCTGTGCATTCAGCAGAGACACTCGTACCAGGTCACAAAGCTCCCTATGAACCCCAAAAGTGAGGCGGCTCTGGAACTGAGAGAGCAGCAGCTCCATGTTGTGCCAGCCCAGTCGATTACAGAAAACCGTTACCATTCCTGGAACACAGAAGTTACATCAATGTCTTAACTCCACCTCCAGTTCTACTAAGCTGGATTAATTTCCCGCCCCCTCATCTGAATAGGCATTCACTTCTTCACATTTCTCACTTTCCCATTACTTAGAGAAACAAACCCATGCTTATTATAACTATGACTAGGAGCTGGTCTCTGCTGGTTCTAGCAGAACTCATAGAATCATAGAATCGTCTGGTTGGAAGAGACCTTCAAGATCATCGAGTTCAACCATTCACCCTGCACTGTCAGGGTCCCTAAACCATGTTCCTCAACACCAAATCCACACAGTTTTTAAACACCTCCAGGGACGGGGACTCCACCACCTCCCTGGGCAGCCTGTTCCAATACTTCACAACCCTCTCTGTAAAGAAACTCTTCCTGATATCTAACCTAAATTTCCCTTGGCATAACTTGAGGCCATTCCCTCTCGTCCTGTCATTCATAACATGGGAGAAGAGACTGATACCCATCTCCCTACAACTTCCTTTCAGATAATTGTAGAGAGCGATAAGGTCCCTCCTGAGCCTCCTCTTCTCCAGACTGAACAGTCCCAGCTCCTTCAGCTGCTCCTCACAGGACAAGTTCTCTAAACCCTTCACTAGTTTCATTGCTCTTCTCTGAACCCGCTCTAGCACCTCAACATCCTTCTTGAAATGAGGGGCCCAAAACTGGACACAATACTCAAGGTGTGGCCTCACCAGTGCTGAGTATAGGGGGACAATCACTTCCCTGCTCCTGCTGGCCACACTGTTTCTGATACATGCCAGGATTCCCTTGGCTTTCTTGGCTGCTTGGGCACACTGCTGGCTCATGTTCAATCGGCTGTCGACCAGCACTCCCAGATGCTTCTCTGCTGTGCAGCTTTCCAGCCACACTTCCCCAAGCCTGTAACGCTGCAGGGGGTTGCTGTGGCCCAAGTGTAGGACCCAGCACTTGGTCTTGTTGAATTTCATACAGTTAGCCAACAATTACAACTCTAATTAATCTAGAATTAACTAGTTTATCAGTGAGATAGAAATTCTGAATGACACTGCTTTTTCAGAGATGCTAATCTTGAAAGTGTGAATGCATGTCCTGTAACAGAATTCCTGTGAACCAAACACACTGAAGAAGACAGAAAAAAGCATTTGATGAGGGGCAATACGAGAAGCTACGAGGAAAGCCAGCATTGATGTCCGTAAGAGCAAAACTTGGCCTGCAGAACTTCAGTTACTGAGAGCATCAAAGGAGGTAGCAAAGCCTATAATAAAGGTTACAACTGCAGTCCCTAGCACATGGGAGGAAAAGAGCAGGGAAAAGACAGTTTCGTACTCACAGATTGCATCTACAGAATATGAAAATAACTGAAAGACATGGCATCCCTTACTCTTTTTAAAGTGATTACAGAATACAACTTTTATCATCTCTTCGAACTATAGGTCAAGTCAACAATTCATTTTACTTCCCAGACTAGTTTTGTGAAAATTATTAACACTGGGAATAGAGAATTATGAAACTGCTACAACAAAAAGTTATTTATACTACCAGAATTAATTTAAACTACTCTGCATCATTTGGGGCTTTGACTCATGCTGCAACCCACATGTAAGGTTTTGCAAGTTGAGCTAAAACTGTCTTAAAAACTGAAGACCCACTTATGGAGTAATGGAGGACTTAGACAAGAGAAAAAAAAACAACATCTCAATCGCATGGTGGGCTGTTACTTCTACTCCTACATAGCCCTCTTAAGGAAGTTAAGGTAAAGGTGACAGCTATCTAACCTCTTGTTAGCTGGTGATAAATGACCTAGAAACTACTCACTCTGTTTTGAAAACTATGAACTTTTATTTTCTGGTCAATTAACTTTGCAACCAGGAGAAAGCCATGCTAAGTCTTAGAGACCCCAAACTTTACCCACGCTGAAAAGTACTTTTTCCTGGTAGAGCAAAGCTTCAGAATGGACTTGTGCTTAATTTCCATACTTAGTATCGAACAAACTACATTCCTGCACAGTAGACAGATGATTTCCGTAAACCTCAGGATGCTACAGCACTGCTTGATTCCACTTAGCTGGCCTCCTTCCCACAGCACACTCTGTGGATCAATCTCAAAGCAGGGACAACCACAGATTAGGTTATAAAACTGGAATTGGTTTTACAAGACTGATTGTTGTTAGTACCACACTGTGGCTATCTTATCCCCATACGTGGAAGGAAAGAAAACAGACTAGCCTAAGACTCCTTGGGTATTTTGCCCAGACAACTCACCTGCATAAGTGGCAGCAGACTGCTGCAAGGATTGAAGCTGGCCACGATTACAGCCATATTTCTTGGTCATATCCTTTAAGGGAACCTCACTGATTAAATCTAGAAGGGCAAGACTGGTGAAAAACCTGTAGAAGTACACAGGGAAATAAAATCATCATCCAGGGCACATTAGTGTACATGGCAAAATGCACTGTGATACATAGGACAGAATGGTACTATAGCATAGCACACAAAAGAAACAGAGGAGCACAAAAACATCAGCACAAACATCTTGTGCCAGCAGTGTTCTCAGTCCAGAGCAGACCAGGTCCAGGTTCTCTGAGCTATCAGCTCACTCAGCAAGAGAGCCAGTTCCTGAAAACAGGCACAGAGCCTGTCCACTCCATGTGTTACAGCCTCTAGTCTTTGCACATTGACACCCATTTGTGTCTACCTTTTGTGGATGGCCATTTGTCTATGCTGTTTCTCTGTTTTAGCTATGATTTTGCCCTTTACAGAGCGAGCCAGAAAGCCTTCTTCAATCCCCACCAGCTCAGCCACACGTTTCATTGAGGCAGGCAGCTTCTCCCATAAGCATAAAAACTGGTACCAATCAATTGTTGTCCACTCCTCATACACTGGGGTGACCTGAAGAAAATAAGACAATGCGAAAAACTGTTTCAGAGAAACAAACAGAACAGAGCTCTGGGTAAACAAAAACACAGCCTAGGGAATGTGGTTAGAGCATCCTACACACTACTCTGAGGCGTTGAGTCATAACCATGTATCCTGATGAAAGTAAAAGCTCTTCTAACCTGGTTTTTTAAATATTTGTACTGATGAGATCTGACTCATATGGGTACTTTAATGACTAAACAATTTGAAATCTTTGTCAGATTGCTCCCTAAATCCAAGACACTAGGAGATTTTTAAGCTGCATCTTTATTCTCCTTTAACAAAATAAAACTTTTTTTTTTTTTTTAACAAAACTGAGAGATGTTTATCAATCTCTTAAAACCACTAGCAACCACACTGACCACTGCCAGGGAATCTGATAAAGCAGGAGGGAACACAGATTTTGCCAGAACTCACTGAAGCTTTTATTTACCTTGAGTACAAGAAATCTCAGCTTTTAGTAACACTGACAAAGAAGCCATCCAGAGCTTTCGCACACTTTTAGACAGAAAACCTATTCTGCTATTGTTCAGTCAGCACAGAGTCAGTTTCAGTATGAGGAGACAAAATGTCATCATATCTGTATCGATATACTGCAAGATTAATTACTTTGAAATAACTAACAGTTGTTGAGGAACATTTAACATAACACAGAATACCAGATACCTATGTAGTTGTAAATCATCCATGCCCCTTCATCTGCTGAGAACAAGAGTTAAGCTGGGGGATTGTCTTTTGTTTGTGGGTTTTTTTGTTGTTTTTTTTCTTTTCTTTAAAGAAAACTCTTTTCCTAGCCTATCAAAAAACTTATTTGTTTCAATCAACTTTCCTAAAATGCAAAGTCTTGGAATTCAGTTTCATATTTGTACAAGTAAAAGATTCAAGCCTAAGAGAATTAAAAAGCATTATAGCAGGTGATTTCCCTGTAGTTCATGTTTGAGGCTAGCTTAATGGAAGAGAATCTCAAGAACATTTTGTTTATCAGTGTATTTGATTTAAAATAACATTAGACAATGCAATTAAAAAGTACAGGGTAAAAAAATATATTGCCATCACTGTCTATACCCTAGAACATGAACAAAATTCATCCTGTTTTTTTCTGGTTTGGAGATGCAAACAGGGAAAAAATTCACTGGTGCATGACACAAAACAGTCTGCTTTGCCTAGTAGAAAGAGAACAAAATATAACGTGGTCCTCTAAAACAGAGATATGGATACATATAAGACACTAGTGGATCAAAAAAAAAAAAATCTGTCAGTATCAGCCAATAACAAGGTTAATGAACACAGCAAGAAGAGACAGGCACCCTCAATCTCTTGCCTCCTCCTGTCTCCTACCTCAACAATAACTGTAACCACAAGCATTTTCTACTTGAATTTTTTTTTTCAGGCAAGATGCCCAAATTTTGCCTTTGATATATCATCCTGGTAAAAAGAATACACTTTATACTTAAGGAAGCTGAAGACAACTGTCAAATTTCGGAGGATGATTGCATGATGGGCCTCTGGCAGCTGTGAATCCTAAGATGCCCACTGCAACTCCATCTTGTTTCCTCACTAATCTTCACAGGCTCATGGCTTCCTCTCTAAAGGTCTTAAATAGCATTGCTCAGCTTTTTAAGTGTAGGTGCACATAAATCTTGTCAAACTTTGGGATGCTTTCCCCTCAAAAGATTTATCACGCTCCTTCCTTTAGCCCTGGTAGCATCACCAGGCAAGTAAAATTAATCAGAGATGAATTTCACTGTTACTGACTCAAGGAGAGGTCCACTCGCAGGAAGAAAGCAGTGTAGTTTCTCTGAGGCTTTTTGTAGGCAAAATAAATGCTAAAACCCCATGTCCCAGTTTTAGCTGGGACAGGTAGCTCTTCTTTTTAACAGCTAGAAGAGCTCCGTGTTTTGGTTTTACTCAGAGGCTCGCTCTGAGAAGAATGCTGATAGCAAGTTGATATTTGTGGTTAGACGTGAAACTCCAAGGACTTTTCAGTGTGCCGGAGTGCAGAAGCACGGCGGGATAAGGGGGGAGCATAGCTGGGACAAGGGCGACACGACTCCCCTTGTGATTTGTGGTGGAA